CTGCAATTTTAGACCAATCATAAAAATCGGTATCCTCCTTGACCTTCAGTGCAACAATGTGCAAGTGCAGCCTGAAAACAGACATGTACCTACACAAAGGGAAACACAAAGAGTTACTATATCCCGGCACAGGGAATTAGCTGTCCTCTTGATAGTCGGACTTTGCAGAAGACAAAGACGGGGGTTTGAAATGTGATGGGCTGCAACACTGGGCAGCTGTTAACTGGTGCACAATAAAAATCTGATAGGAGACTTCACTTCCAAGTGTGGCTTCTCAAATGACTTTCACAGGTTGCTTTTAATGTTAAGTTCATAAAGGACATCAAGAACCAAAGACCTGTTAGCTCACAAACCCTTTTCACAGAAAAAAAAAGTGTCACAGATTTTATCCTGTGCTGACACTATTTTTTTTGTTGAAATTTCTGCTGTTTTGTGGGATGTCAGGTAGGAGAGACATTATCTTGATAGCTTTTTTGGTGGCAGCTCCAATGTATGTTCTCATCAAAATACATATCAATATATCATCATGAGAAAGGCCTGAGTCAGACAGAAAGGCTTGGTCACTATTGAGGTTGTTCATGGCTCCCTTGGACATCCTGGCAGCCGTTCCTATGTCCTCGCAGGAGAGGGAAACTCTGCTTAGGCCAGCAGCACACAGACCTTGTGTACAGCTGCCAACACCACCTTCCTAACCAGGAACTGTGTCTCTGATGCTGTTTCAGCAGATAAGACTCTGAGCAGGGCTATTTAGTGTCTCCCAAGGGCTGTAATTTTACCAAGATCAATTTAGCTGTGTGTCTGTTCCAGGTTCACTGAATAAACCAGGTGCTTTGTGATACCTTTGTGCCCCAAAATTATGGTAACATACTGCAACAGCTCCTTTGGAGAACGCAGGAGCTGGCACACATCTGGGTAGTTGGCAAGGCACATGCAGATGTATTTGTGGTCCAAATCCAGATCTGAGCCTGCCATTTGTCTAGCTCTTTGCAGGAGCACAACAGGCTGCGCAGGCAAAATGGTCTCGATGCTTCCCCGAGAGAGAGAGAGGACAAGGCCAGTTGTTTCCAACTGAGGAGACAAGCCTTTAATTATGACTGTTGCAGTGAAATTTGCCTTTTCTCACAGTTCTATAAAGAGGTGCGGAGAGAAAAAAATTAATAGAAGTTGAAAACTCCTCTGTCTTTCAATGTAACTAATACTTAAAGTAAGGTAATGAATAGAAAAAAGCTATGTTTTGAAAGAGTAAGAAAAGCCACCTGGGTAATTGAATTGTTAATGAGTACCGGTTGTAATGAATAGATTTCATCAGAAAAGCAGAAGTATAAATATTTTCTGTCTTTTGACTGATACTTCCCAATGTTGTGCACTCCTGTCCCATACCCTTCTGTTGCCTAATAAAAACTAATGATCACTTCCGTGATGGGATAATGTGTACAGTGCCTAATGTGTTTAATTTAATTTCATTGTGACTAAGGTAAGCAGCATTTTTTCTGTCTAGTAGTTCTGATTCTCCTTTTGTGATAAGAAAATATCAGTTAAACTGGACTCCACTGAACTACTCTTCCCATATTTACATGTAATGAACACTGAGAGGAGAATTAGTGTTCTAGTTGCTATCTCGTTTTCATTTATTTGTACATGGATAACAAAAAATACACATGAAATGTATCTCTTCAAGTGCTTAAAGTTTACTAGAAAAAAAAATATTGATGGTTAAAAGGGATTAACGCGACTTTTTGCTATTATTTTAAGTATGTGTCAGTTTGCTCGCTTACAACAAGGTAAAATATGAACAGCCAGCTAGGGTTTTATGGGATGCCTTATGGGGTGTTTTTTTAGCATGGAGCAATGCCAATCAGTTATTAGGTCAATCAGATTGGGGATATTGCTGCCTGTTTGTGTAGGTGGGGAAGGGAAGTGTAGAGCCAGATATTATTGGCAGAGTTAATTGAGTGCAGCTGTATTAGTTGCTTCTGAAAAGTTTCTGAAAACAGAGCTTTTGCCACATAGACATAGAACTTATTTGTTCTAAACCATAGAACAATAATTCTAAACTCCTGATGACTTCTTTTTTTGTCTTTTCTTGAAAGAATTGAAGTATTTTAATTGGGTTGCCCTAGTGGAGGAAAAGACAAGAACTCTTAGGCCCTGTGGGGAACCAGACAATCTTTGAAGAAAATGTTGGACAAGACATTTTTTACCTCCTTCCATTGCATCAGCTCCATCATGATCAGCTAACAAGTTTTTGAAGCCAGATTTCTGTAGTCCACATTAGGAGTAAAATGTCTGCTGTTGTACTGGATAGAGCTGTATCTGAACGCATTCTCCCTCCTGCAGGCAATGGCTAAATTACTGGTGGTCTCTACAGGAGTAGTTACGTGACTAAAATTCCCAGAATAGGAAAGAGTTATGAAAGAGAAACTATTGCTTGTGCAACAGATCCCACCTGGGTGTGAACAGATGTTGTTTTTCATATACCTACCTCACTGACTATACAGGTTGGCAAACATAGAGCTCTTTTGTGTGTCGGGGTCTACTGCGAGATACGGTATCATATAAGGTTGCCTTCAACTTCCTATGTTAGGATAGGCAAAGACCTTATAATTCCTTTGATTCCCATCTGGAAAAAAAACAACCAACCCAAAACCAAACCTCAAACATGATCTTGCGAATAAAGAAATCAGTCACCAAATATGTTGAGAATTAATGAAAAAACCAAAACCCAAGTATGTTGTGTGCTCTAGATAAATATTAATATTATGAATTATGCTGTGGTTATCTATGTATCCTAAGCAGCTTCCTATGATTGACTAAAAGGTCAATTTATCATTGAATTGGTGCTAGTTTTAAAGACATCAAGCTAAATAAATAAATGACAATAAATCATAATTGAACATGTTGAAATTCTAGCATTTGGCTTCAATGATGTGCTAGCTCTGTTGTGATGGGTATAGATATAAATCCCCTCTGTAATAGTACCAGGCTCTTCCCTAGAGAAAAACATATGAAAAGTGGAAACGAGATTGAATTTTGTGATTCTTCCTGCCCCATATTTGGTTTCAAATGAAATGAAACCAAGTAGAAAGCAAACAATTTGATCACGTAGTTATTTGTCAGAACTGAAAAGGCTCTGAGTGTGCATACTGACAATAAAGACATCTTTATTTTAAGATGTTAATACTTCTCATGCGAATTTTCCAGCTTTGCTGAAACAAAAATATATAACTGAGAAGAGACCCTAAGATAAAAATTTCAAAGGAAATAAAATAATGCTATTTTTGAAAGGGAAATTTGATATGTCAAAACATCTCTACTCTGTATTATTTGATTAAACATGGTGTTTTCTACATAATTTACATGTTTGAAATGCAGTTCCAAAATTCTGACAGGTGTTAGTTCTAAATGCTTTTCATCTGTAAGAAATGGAACATGCCAAATGTTTGAACTAGTTTTGAAATTAAAATTTATTTGCACATGACAATAGCTACCAGAACGGTGAAATTCACCTTAAAACTCAATATTTAAGACGTAAACTTTCAAAACCATGAGTCAAGAGAAAATTTTTTCTTAAAGAAAAACGAAAACCCCAAACAAAAAAAACCCACAAACCCAACAAAACCCCACAGCTCAAACAACATATAACACTACGAAAAGTTTTAGCTATTCAGTAGCTGAAATAGGCGAACAACTAACAATAAGTTACAAAATCAGAGAACAAGTTTATGAAGTTTTTTGGTTTTTTTTCCTTTGGCTGGGAGAAGTGATCTTTCAGTACTAAACAAAATGTCTGTTCTTGGATGCGAGAAGGCCATTTCAAGATACAGAGAAACCGGGGTGGGTTTTTTTTGTGCATCTTTCTTTAAGTTTCCAGGAAACGTGCCATCCCTCTAGTGCTGTGCGTAGCCGTCCGGTTCGCGCAGTCCGTGGGGAAGGTGGAGATGGAAGTGCCCTGCCGTCCTCCCACCACCCGCAGATAATCGGTCAGGTCCGGAGCTACCTGGGGCTCTGTGGGTCGACAGTTTCGTCAGTCGGGCTACCACGGTTTTGTTCCTTTCTGTCGCTCCTTAGGGAAGCTGCCAAAGCAGTGGGAAGAGGATTGGCGCAGTGAAGAGGTAGGCTTTACGCTGAAGGCTCGGCGCTTCAGACCTGGGTCCAACCTGCACCCAGTCAGGCGGATTTTCTTTTGTGAGACCTGAACAAACGGAAAACTTCCATTTAAATAGCTCTAAATTAAGCAGAAACAAGAATGATTTGCCTGGGTTGTTTCAAGTTCTTTATTGCTCTAAACTACTTCCTTTCAGCCTTCCCAGAAGCTACTTCAGCTGAACAGGCAGTGATGGAGGGTCCTTAAAGACAGTGTTCACAGTTTTGAAAGAGCAGCAAACAGCGGCACTCAGAACGTTTAAGAAATGACTGATGAGATTTTATGGTGCTTAGGAGAGAAAATATCTGAGTATTCATATGTAAATCTCAGATATTCACTAGAATGTTGCTTTTTAAGTACTGCCATATTTTTCTTTGCAAGTGCATATGGAGTAAGTAGCTGGAGGTAATGTTCCCTCTAGAGACTCAGAAATTTGTTTTAATGTGAAACAAAAATGTCAGAGTACTAAAGCTCTCAGGCTTTTTCTTCCTTTGCAAGGAAAGTCCTCCAGGGAACAGGGATAGAAAAATTCATTCTAAAGAGATTAACAAAATCCAATTAACCTGGTAAAACCATTAAGTAAATTAGCAAATTTAGTAATCAGAATGTTGTCCTTTTTTGTTTCTTAATTCTAGCATTAATAGCTTAACATGGTAAATGTTTAACAAAGAAGAGCCCTCTTTCTTTTTTTTTTTTTTGTCACACACAAACATAGATAAATTCTCTCATTTAGAAGACTTTTGTTTAAATTGAAGAGCCTCTTAAAGAAGTTCATCATAGTTGCTCACGAATCAAATTTGGTCGACATCACCTCATTCAGATACAGAAATCTGCTCCTTTCATATTTTAGTATATCGCGCGTATATATACACTAGGTACACAGATTAAAAAAAGCCCAAACCAACTCACTAACAACTCCCCAAACCTCTGCTTTCTGAAGCTAACACCATACATAGAAACCATATAAGCAATGTCTCGCATATGCCTCAATCTGAATCTAAAGGAGTAGTTGTAGGGCAGAAGAGACTACGCTTGTTTTTCAAGAGTCTCTCCACTACCACGATGTGTCAAACGTTCCTAACACGGAAAAGATTTGGCAACTGACAAAACTTCAGCTAACTAGTGACCGACTAACTTGGTCTCTAATGGGACTGATGCTTGGCTAGCAGAGCCTGTCCTCACATCCCAGAGAAGCTTTTTGACACCCACACCAACAATCCCAAGCCCCATCTGCCTCCCTCCAATTTTCTCCAAGCCACATCCACCCTCTTTTGTGTGAGGAGAGGTAAGTCTCATTTTTGTAGCAATTCTGACTTTCCATCGCACTGGTGATCAGATAGCTAAGCTCATTTAACACTTTGATGCAGCTGAAAAGGATCTCAACAAACAGTTTGCCATTGTTTTAGGCAGGTAAATTGACTCAGTGATACTCAGAGGCACGAATAACAAGAAGGGACATCTAGGTGCTGGTTTTAAGAACTCCCGTCATACAGGGGATCCTGTGTCTCTTACCACAGCCATCTCTCAGACCATGAGGAAAACAATGAAGGACCCCATGGACACACTGGCAGAGCAGGCAGTCGTCCTTGGTCCGCTCCCCATGCCTCACTGTGCCACAGAATCTGCGATGTTGGGAAATAACAGCAATAATCAGAAAAAGGCCTAGGAAATGGAATTGCATGCTTTGAAAGTAAACTCGTTACTATTTCTGGGAAAAAAATTCCACTCCACGTTTTGCTCACCTGATACGTTTATCATGTTCACAATGTCTACCAGTAAAATACTTCGGACATATGCAGAAAGTCCCCAGGAAACAGGTTCCTCCATTTTGGCAGCAATTCCTGTTCAGCTCATGGGCTACAGTCAGAAATAAGAAGTTATTGCAGGAAATTTGTGGAGCAAATAAGGCACCCACTTTAGCTGCAGACAGCCATGACACCAATTTGAGCCTGATGCTTTAAAATTTTTTTCTGTTTGCCTACTGCAAAGACGGTTATCCCGACTTGTTAGCAAATTCAAAAGGTCAAAGACTAAATTAAGCAGCATCCTCATAAGTTTTAATTACTCTTTCAGTAACAGATACAATTGCCTTCAGGCTTTTGTTTTTGTTCCTGTGCTTGATCAGAGATTAAAGTTTGTGGAGGCACTCAGTCGAGGACCTGACCTTTCATGTGTTCTTTAAAAACATAGCAAGAGTTGCTTTGTTTGATCCATTTTTTTTTCCTGGCTACCGAGTCTGGAAAAGACGTGCAAACCCTGGTGCCTGAAAAGGTGACTACAAATCTCAGTCTGACTGTTTCTGGGCTAGATGGGTCTGGATTCTTAATAAAAGGGAGAGGGTAGGAAGGTGACACTTTACTGGTATGTGTTTTCAGAGATGTTTTGGAAGATGCTTCCAGATAGCGAAGAGAGACGTGTCATATATATCTAGCGAGCAGCCATGGCACATGTAGCCGCAGTTGAAGCTCGTAACACACATCTTACATCAAATATAAAAGTATCAGTTCTTTATACCCTCCATGGGAGCTCGGAGAAATGTGAGGAAACATAAAAGGAAATAGCTCTCTCTGAATCAAGGCAATATCTTTCAGCACAGATCCCTTCATATTCCCATGGAAAGTAAAGTGCTCCAATTTTGTTAATAGCACTGAAAGCAGACTAAGAGAGGCATCTCTATTACTGCCATTTTCTTTTCCCTCTAAAAATTTAGAATTAAAAATTTAGAATTTTAGAAATTCTCTTCTCCCCAGGTAAGGAGAAGAAGAGAATTTACAGATAGCGATAACCAATGCTGCTGATGCATGCGTCAAGGCACTGACCTTCTGGCTCACTGACAGATGGGGCCAGATTCTGGGCCACGCAGGCTTCTTGAGCTTGAAAGTACTCTCATATCTCAAAATCGTGAGGACGAGGTGAAAAATATTTTTCTGATCAGGTACCATCCAGCATTTAAGTGGCTGTACAACCTGAAGTTGTTGCATCACCTCTGAAGATGAGGGGTAGGATTTGGCACAAGCTCCTAAACTTACCCCTACATCTGCCTTTTTTTTTTTTTTTTTTTTTTAAACAAAATCATCATCCCTTTCTAGCTTTCTGAACCGATTAAAAAAATAATGAAATGCTGATGCAGCACTTACCATTTCTCCATAGCACCAACATGTTTCCAGTACCTCTACGGATATTTTAGCAGGCATTTGTGATGTCTTCAGAAACTCAGGAGTGCATTTGTGTCCATGAAAGGGCTTGCTAACTGTGTTGTCGATGGCTGCCTGCATACTTACCAGGCTTCTCAGGTTCAAGGACTCCCTGCTATTTGCTAAAGAAACCACACTGTGGTGTAAAGGTCCTTCGCATGGAGTCTGCTTGTTTTCATTAACAGGTAGGGCTTTTGTTTGTCTCTTTTTAACTAATACAGCTATCAGTGTGAACCAAAGCCTTTTGCGCATTTGATTGTGCACTTTAAAGACGGCAACAAAACGTGTCCTCTGGAAAACAGGCTATTATGTGACCTTCATGCCCTTTTTGCCCTGTACAAACACCTTCACAGTGGACATGAAAATAAATGGTATCCTTAGGTGATGAACAACTTACCATGCGTTAATCCAACGAAAGGTGAGATGTCAGGTTTTCTCCTTTTCCTCTTGGAATTGAGGCTAATCATTTCCTTAAAAGTGTTTAAAGACATGCTTCGTTTTTCCTGGTTTGGGGAATTGTTACAGTTTTCCCTTTTGCACCCTTTAAACATATAAATTAAAAAAGGACAGTGGTATTCGTGGGAACAATTTTAACACAGAATTAATATATGACACTGCTTAGAAAAATTGACAACATAAGATAATTTCTTATGAAAATAATGAGCATCAAAGATGTAGTTTTAGAAAGTGATAGAGAGGCTGACGTGTGGTTTATGTCTTTTGTAGCTATTTGTCTTTCTGCTTCGACCCAGTGTTATTACATGAGTTCAGGAGGTGGTGGAATGGTAAAGTAAAAAACACTGGAATGTTTGAAATATCGATTTTGTTATTTACATGGAGAGTAACAAGGGACCAGGGCACATACTGTGGGTCCTAAACAGGCAACAGATAGACTTTATAACCAGATCCTGCTCACTCTGAAACTCCACGTGGACATCCTGCGTCCTTCATCATGCCACAGAGCCTGTCTCACTGGAGAAGCCAAAGAGAGCAACATTGCAGAAAATCCTAACCCTACGGACGTGAGGGTAATGTCACTCAACAAGAGTAATCCCATTCATGCATGAAGATGTCTGAAAGCTGAGACTATAAGACAGTAGTTATTTTAATTATAGTTATTTACAGGAGTGGGAGAGAATTCTTTCTTTAGTGTTTTCTTTGCCTGATAGAATCACTGTCCATTAAATAAAACCAAGAAATAAAGGTTATGTCTTACCAGTTTCAAACTGGAGCACTTGTAAAGGTAATGACATACTTATAAGAAATCTGCAATGCGAAGATAAAGATACGTGACTAATGAATTCACAAAAAACTCGTTAAATTATAGCGTTAAGTTAGATAATTATAACTATAATTTTGGAACATATAAAGGGAAGGTAAGTAAGCCATTGTCTAGGTACAGCACAAGTATTATGGAGGAAACAATCCGCCCCCTCCCCCCGCCCCCCGCGTTTTAAGTAAGTGCTAGAAAAAGAAGTGTGAAAGGTACAAAATATAACAATTTACTAAACAAAATTGGTAGATTTTTTTTCTGCAAACAGTAGCAAACATTTTACTATTTTTTAAAAAACATACATTTTCTTACCTAAAAAGCTTCATCTTTTTTTCCTCTCTGGTCTGTCTGTATTTCACTCCTTTCTTTGCACACGAAATTCCTCTGCTATAACTTTACACTGCTAGGTACACAAAAAAGAATTAGTTTGACAAGGAAGTTTTCGTGAAATATAGAAATGAAAGTAAAGCCAATCTTCTGCTTATCATCCAAGAAAAAATTGGTGTACTTCACTCTCTGAGCTTGAACAGTGTACTCCCTGCAGCAAGTCATTCACAGACGATCAACACCTTTCTACTCTCGCCTCCCATTTCCCTACTTGACCTCTCTTCATTAACCCAGCAATTTGCAATGGCATTGGGTGGTGGATTTATCACAGGACCTGCTCTAAAGTGGTCTCTGGGGCAACAAGACTAGAGGTAAATTGAATTTCCTACGTGAAGGCCTCTTTTTTCTCTTTTTCGTTTTCTCTTGTCTTGAAATGTAGTATCATTGCCATGACTTAGATCTGGTTAATGATGTAAATACAGAGCTATATGGTCAACATGTTATCATCCCTAGAATAAATCAGGAATTCATCTGAAAGGTAATATTTTAAACTTGATTCTATTTTAATAATTTTATTTTCTAGCTTTTTGGTTTAGAGTATATTTTTTATGTTACATACAATATTTTCAAGATTGGTTTATTTTAGCTTTACAGTATTAAGGTCTCAATATTATTGTCCTGGGAGGTGAGAAAAGGAATTCTGAACCTAGTCTGCTGCGACCTAATCTAAATCAAAAAGACATATGTGTCAGAATTTGCTTTGCTTTAACTAAACGAATGTCACTAAACCGGTGAACGTTTGTGTGGAAACAGTCTCAATGAAAGCTATTACTCTCCTGGACATTACATGCCTCAAAGACTATGTCTTTCATACATCATTTGCAGTAAGGTCAAATCTCTCCCTTTTTGAAATAACTGGTTGACCTCATATCGAAACTTTCTTCAAACAGCCGAGCTGGGCCTGAGCCTTTCGGCTGCACTTGGTTTGCATTCTGCTGATAATTGATAATTGCTTTTATTTGCTGGCTTTGCTTTTCCAAAGATTGCTCTGCGCTCACATACCGACCCGTCACTGAATTTTTAAGAAATAAAGACCAGGACTGCCATGCAACTGTGTGGTACCAGGAGTTTACATCAAAGGTATACTGACATACTAGGAAGTAGGCACGTGGACTTTACGTACAGGAAATGGTTTTCAGGTTTACTCTGGAAAATTTGATCAGAGACGGAGCAAGTGCAACAGCAGTCTTGCCGCTTGTTTGGTTTTGCCCTTGGAGTTCAATCGGGAGAGGGGATCTATTTAAGAGGCATAATGAGCAAGGAGAAGTTCTACTCTTTTGGACTAATCTCCCAGAGCAATTCATTGCTCCTCTAATCATTTACCCCTCAAAACCGATGCTATCTTTTCCCACCATACCTTCCTCACGCACGCATACAAACGACTTTGAAACACTTGCCGTCCTCAGCATCCTGGGACAATTTAAGGAGAGTAAGACTTGCAAATTGAAGTGGTGGTCATTTCTATCAACTTTGATTTAGGTTAATGATTGTAAATAATAATTAGTAGTTGGTATTTGAACACCTTTGTCATTGAAAGCTCACCAGTGACTACGGCATATCTAGGCCATTTAGATGAACAGTTCCACTCATTCCAAGGCAAATGAGCAGGATTTGTGGCTGAAATCTAGGGCCTTAAGCACGGCTTAAACTTTTGCATGCCTTGAATAATCCCACTGGAAGTGATTCAGCGCCCTGTATCACGTTCGTCCTGTGTGAATTACTGTTTCAGCGTTTCACCTCTCAGGATGAAAATTCTGGAAGCACACGATAGGTGAATAATTTTAAAACCTACCGTTTCCTTTTTCATTCTTGAACACTCTTTTTTGAACATCTATCTATTTTTAAAACTATATTTAATGAAGCATTAGGATATATATGCAATTGCTGTAGCGAGCCCCGAGCAGTCTAGGATTACCATAGCAATATTAAGTGCGAAGGGAGCTTTCTCAGTTACCAGTCCTTACCAGGAAGTTTAAAGTCCTCACTACACTATTTGAATCACTGTCTATTTAGTTTCTCTACGATCCTGTCATTTCTTTAAAGTTTGATTCTTGCTAAGGTTTGTTAGTAGGGAATATATTTTGACCGAACATATTCTTAGAAATCTTCACATAAAATCAGTTTATAGAAGATTGTTTTGAAATACTAACCACTGTTTAATTTTTTCAAGTAAACAAAAACACCAGTAAACTTTACAGATAAACTTGTTTCTTGATTATTCCGCGTTAAAATAAAAATAACGATTTTCTGCTCTCTCTTTTGATTTCTTTTTGTGTGTTTTTTTTCTTTCTTTTTTTTTTTTTTCTTTCTGCAACGCGAGATTGAAAGGCAGAGTTTTTGGGTAGGTGCAATAAAACTTAGTAGCTTTTTAAAATGTAATGACTCCCAGAGTGGGAGTATGTGCGTGTGCCAGGGTGGAGGGTGTCGTGTGTGTGCCAGGGTGGAGGGCGTCGAAATAACAAGGCAGTAAACACAAGGATTGTTCGAATTTGCCATTGCTGGGTCTTATCATTATGTGCTCCTTTGCCTGACTCTGCGAAACCGGTGAAGCACAGATTAAATCTCGAAAGCATTAGAACATAATAGAAAACTCTTTTTTTTTTTTTTCTCCTTAGTTCTATCAATGCAAAAGACAAATTTCCTTAGCTTGCTTACTTCTTACATGAGTTTTGCAGTTGTGTATTTATGCCAAGGGTATGATCAAATCCAGTGTTTCTACAGCACAATAGTAATTAAAATCCCTTAGCTACATTCTAACCATAACTTAGCATGAGCAAGGGGAGTAAAGCTGGTAAAGCAAAAGACAAATTTCCTTAGCTTGCTTACTTCTTACATGAGTTTTGCAGTTAGCATGAGCAAGGGGAGTAAAGCTGGTAAACTACACCTCTTCCAAAGACATCATCCAGAAAGTGCTAGTTCCCTTACCTGTGTGTAGTTTCATACCTCTGTGGTTCAGTTCCCCATTTATAAAACATAGATGAAAGTATTCCTTTGCATCAGAAGAGTGTTATGAGCCTATATTCATTCATAAATGTGATGAGTCACATAAAGATGTTCATAAACATATTGCTGAGAAAGTAGTGTTATAAATGGCTTCAGGATAATAGGCATGCCTATCTAATGGTTAAAACCATTTCCAAAACAGTTACTAAGATTATGGTTTTCATCTTTTTGATACACGTATTATACCAGCAAAATTCAGCTGTCTGAGTGTTGTAAAGATGATGTATAACTCTCTTCTCCATAAGCTCATGGAAATTTTTCCCTGGGTCACTGTTGTCAAATATCAGTTTCACATTCTACATTTGGCCAGAGATAATTTACAGACTCACCTGCACATTTTGTGCAGACCAGTGGCACCATTATGTAGGCATTTCTGCACACGTTTTTTGAAGGAAATGAAGGCTCGTAGGATGCTTGAGGCACTCAGGGTTAAAGAGCAGGAGAAGAGAGTTTTAAGAGGCTGGAGTTGTCTAAATGTAGGTTCTTTGTGCAAGGTAAGTCGAGTCCATGGTCAAGGTAAGCAAAAGAAAACACACAAAATAAAACAGAAAACAAAAAAATCAGATGCTAAGGTTAAAATTGACAGGCAAAATGGTGTATGGAAATTATACTAATTCTTTAAATATATTTTATGATTTTTCCTATTTTCAAAACTTTAAGTGAAATTAGAAAAGTCTCCCTTCAGTGGGGTTAATTAGGAAGAGATTCTCTGTGTGCATGCCTAGGAATTTCACTTTTTTTCAGGTTTGGCTCATACTGTAAATGTCTGTTGAGGCTGCTCATACATTGTGATTCTTTGAATCAACAGGAATTCCTTCATGATGGGAA